TCTCTCAACAGCAGCCAGGCTCATCTTTTTTTTTTTTTTAATACAAATCTGATTATGTCACTGTCCTGCTCAAAATCTTCTGGTGGTTTCTCATTGTACTTAGAATAAAATTTAAAGTCTTCCCTCTAACCTTTGAAGCCCTGCATGGTCAAGCCCCTGACTATCTCTGTGACCCCATTTCATGTGATATTTCTCACTAGTCACTGTGTTCCAGCCCTACTTGCTCTCTCTGTCTCTCTCCCTCAAATACACCGAGCTACTCTTCACTTCTACATTTTCAAATTTGCTGTTTCTTCTGCTAAGTATATTTTTCCTCCAGATCTTCACATGGTTGATTTCTTCTGGTCACCTAGGTCTTAACTCAAATATCAGTTCCTCAAATAATTATCCTGTCTAATCCTTATTATCCTGTCTAACGTTCAAATCGCTGCATCGCCCTCACATCCTGTTTTATTGTTTCAGAACACATCGCTATCTTCTATTACCTTATTTCTTGTTTATTGTCTCTGTTGTGCATTAGATAAGTTGTGTGTCAACAGGACAGCATTTGTCTTGTTGACTTTGTATGCCTGATATCCAGAACTATAGTTGATACATAGTAGGTCTAGTTTCATAAATATTTGGGAATGAAGAGGTAAATCTCAGTGCTTATCAGCATCAGCAGTTCACTTGCAACTGTCACAGTTTCCTCTGGGGAAGGTAGTTGACTTGACCAGGTACCCAAGTTGCTTAAATTGTATTAGAAGAAAATACAGGCCTTGAACACCTAGAGGCAGATTGTCATACTCAGTATCAATAACCTCAGATATGTAGATGATACCACCTCTAGTGGTAGAAAGCAAAGAACTAAAGAGCTTCTTGATGAAGGTGAAAGAGGAGACTGATAAAGCTGGCTTAAAACTCAACATTCAGAAAACTAAGATCATGGCATCTGATCACTCTCTTCATGGCAAATAGAAGGGGAAAAAGTGGAAACTGACAGATTTTATTTTCTTGGGCTCCAAAATCACTGTGAACAGTGACTGCAGCCACAAAATTAAAAGACGCTTGCTTCTTGAAAGGAAAGTTATGTCTAACTTGAACAACCTATTAAAAAGTAGAGATGTCACTTTGCCAACATCACTTTGTCCATATAGTCAAAGCTGTGATTTCTGCACTAGTTATGTACGGTTGTGAGAGTTGGACCATAAAGTATGCTGAGCATTGAAGAATTGATGCTTTCGAACTGTGATGCTGAAGACTTTTGAGAGTCCCTTGGACAGCAAGGAGATCAAACCAGTAAATCCTAAAGAAAATCAATGCTGAATATTCATTGGAAGGACTGATGCTGAAGCTCCAATACTTTGGCCACCTGATGTGAAGAGCTGATTCATTGAAAAAGACCCTGCTGCTGGGAAAGATTGAGGGCAGGAGGAGAAAGGGGTAACAGAGGATGAGATGTTTGGATGGCATCACTGACTCAATGGACATGAGTTTGAGAAAACTCTGGGAGATAGTGAAGGACAGGGAGACCTGGTGTGCTGCAGTCCATGTGGTTGAAGAGTTGGACATGACTTAGTGCCTGAACAACAACGTTCCAGCAATGTGAGAGATTAAGCCAACTGTACAGTTAGATGTTGTAGTCCTTGAAGACCACCCGTACTTCTGACACAATCTACACATTTGGGGTATTCCCAAAACCAGTCTCAGTTTTGGTGGTTTATTAGAAGGACTCCCAGAACTCACTAAAAGCTGTTAACTCACAGTTATGCTTTATTGCAGGGAATGGGTATAAATTGAGATCAGTCAAGGGAAGAAGTGTGTAAGATAGACTTCAGGGTGATTCCACATGTAGAGCTTTCAGTTGTCTTCTCCCCATGGAGTCAGGACAGTGTTACTCTCCTGGCATTGTTGTATAGAAGTATTCACAAAGGATGGCTAAACAGGGAAGCTCAGATGAGCTTCAACTGTCCAGAACTTTCATTGGAGTTCTATCACTCAAGTGTGACTGATTTACCCATGGAGCTGATCTCAGTCTCCAGCTCCACCAGACGTTAACTGATATCACAGTTCCCAAAGTCTCCATCCTAAATTAAACTTCGGTCTTTCTTAGACTAGTCCCTACCCTAAGACTCTGGTATGGCCAGTCCCCACCGTAAGTCATACTGTTAGACTGTCTGGTGACCCAAGGCCCACGGACAAACAAGGATATGTCTTTCAGGCTTGGCATTTCAAGGGCTTAGAGATCACTTCTGAGAGGCCAAAGACAAAAACAAAGGCTAGATGTCTTTGTGGGCCAGGTTAAATTCGTTATCACACATATGAATGTACTATATTTTCTTTGGTTCATTGTCCTCTTGATGGATATTTCTGTTACATGTGATGTATATCAAATAGTACCTATTTCTTTAATGAATGAGTGCTTTATGTAATACTGTGTGCCAAGCACTGTGTAACTTCTTTTCAAATAGTAACTCATTTAATTCCCAGAAGAATCCTATATGAGATAAATGCTATTATTCTCATTATACAGATGAAGAAAATAGGATACTGAAAGGCCACATAACCACTAGATGGACTAGCTGGGATATAAACTCAGGCAGTCAGAATCCTTCCTCATAACCACTATGATATGCTGTCTAAAACACAATACAGCAAAAAATATATTTATGCACATCTTTTGTATATATATCTGAGAGTCTGTAAGATTTATGCCTAATAGTAAAATTGCTGCACTGTAGGCATATGCATCTTCAACTTTATTAGACATGGCCAAATTATTATCCAAACTGATAGTTTTAAAATAATTTGTAAGATATTTGTATATATCTTTCCTAGTCCATGGCTTTTCACTTTCTTTTATTGTCCAGATGTTTGTCATTTAAAAATACTTTTTTCACCATTTTCTCTATGATTTAGCCTTTTGTATCTTATTTAAGAAATGTTTCTTTCCCCTGAGCTCAAATATATATCCTCATATATTCTAGAAGCTTTGTCTTTTATATTTATACTTTCACCTACCTGGGATTGATTCTGTATATGGTATAAAACAATTGTCTCAAAACCACTTGTTCAGTGATCCATTCTTTCCCCACTGGTCTGTAATACCACCTCTGTCATAATCATTTTCATATACTTATGGGTCTTATATTAGTTTGCTATCACTGCCATAATAAATCACCACAAACTTATTAGCTTAAAACCATGCAAGTATGTTGTCTCACAGTCCTGGGTGTCAGAAGCCTAAAATGAATAGGCTGGGCTCCTTCTGTCTTGGGGCTGTAGGAGAGAATCTATTTCTTGTCTTTTCCGGCTTATAAAGGCCCCCTGCATTCCTTGACTTGTGGCCCCCTTTTAGCAGTGGCATCACTCTGACCTCTGCTTCCATCTGCAAATCTTCACTAACTTTGACCTTTCTGCTTCCTCTTTTAAGATACCTTTCTGATGACATTGCATCCACTGGGACAATCTAGGATAATTTCTCCATCTCATGATCTTTAATTTAATCACATCTTCAGAGTTCCTCTTGCTGTGTAAGAGAGTGTAGCCACAGGTTCCAGGGATTAGGATGTGGACATCTGTGATGGGAGCATTATTCAGTCTACCACAGTCTTCTTCCTGGACTTTCCATCATTCTTAATGTTTTTAATCCATCCCTTTTTAGCATACTCATTTTAACTATCTGAATAAAGTTTTGTGGGAATCTAATCCTTCTGTTTGTTATGTCCATTAATTCTCACTCAGGATAAGATGTATTTTTTCATCTGTTGTATTAGATTATAAGCTCATCATAAGGGAACTCTGTCTTTGATAATTCCATGTAGCCTGGATCGAGGTCATATTGTTCTAGAAAGTTTTAGCAGTTGCTTCTACAAAATTTCCCAGGGTACTACTGACCCAGGTGGGGCCAGTGGTAAAGAATCAGCCTGCCAGTGCAGAAGACACAACAGACATGGGTTCTGTCTCTGGGTCAGGAAGATCCCCTGGAGTATGAAGTGGCAACCCACTCCAGTATTCTTGCCTGGAGAATTCCATGGACAGAGGAGCCTAGCAGGTTACAGTCTTTGGTGCTGCAAAGAGTCAGACACAGCTGAGCTATTGAGCACACACACTGGCACAGAGCCATTTTTCATGATGTTTTATTGGTTAGTGAGTGAAATTGCTCAGAGTTTCTCAAATCATGTAGTAGTGTAATTTCAGATTTCCAGTCTGTGTGAGAGAAGACCACTGGTTATAAATACAGAAGAATATACATCCTTGAAGGTGGATTCTTTACCACTGAGCCATCATGGAAATCCACACAGGGTTTAAAATAAAACAATTTAACATTTTCTCTCTCTTGTAGTCAACAGATTTTCTCCCTTGATCACCTTTTCACTGAAGTATAGCCCTTTGTGGATCCAGATGTTATTAGAGAATATCTCATTCTCTACTCCCTGCCTTGTTTGAATCCTAAGGCCTCTCCTTTCCCTACATGGGCATTAAAACTCCAGCCCCTAGATTCTTGAGTTAGGCAAACTCATTAGAGCTTCTGTAGCATTAACTCCTGTGCTTATTGCTCTGGTTTTCAGTTTCCGATTTAATTTGTGCTTACTTTTATGGTAAGTAAAATTTCCAGAGCCTTCCCAGCTTGTTTTTTCCTTAGCATTTCTTTGTGGTCACTTCTGTTGTGGGGGGTCTCATCCATCACCTCCTGAGGCTATTTGTAGCCTATACTTTAGGTAGTCAGTAGCTGGTTTGGGAGTCGGGGATAACTGAGTTTTGTTTAGGGATACTTTCAGCTTGGTCACAATTCTAGGTTTTCATGTTGTATTATTAACACTAATACCTCTGCTGCATTAAAATATTAATCTTATCTCTGAGATATTCTTAATACCATAATAGAAGATAATAAATTATCAAAATCTTTGTTTCTCTAAGAGCAATTAAATTTATTAGATGTTGGATATTTTAAAAAACATTATTTTACCTTAATTTTCAACTCAAGAATTCTAATCCTCATTTTCCTATTCTCTTCCTAGAATGTGTGCAGTGTTTGGTGGAATCTATTGTCTTCGCCATTCAGTACAGTGCCTTGTAGTGGACAAAGAATCTGGAAAGTAAGGATGATATAAGTTACCTTCCTATATTTACACCCCCAAGCACAAGTGAAAAATGCTAAAGTCGATTTTTTAAAAATGATTCTTCAAAGATCCTCCTTGGTGTTAATAACATATCAACCTTGATTAAAAGTAATTTGTGTTTAGATCCTCCACAACAAGGAAAGTGAGTTCAGAATATAGAAACTAAATTAATTTCCCTGCAATATGGCTATAGCTCCTGATCATCCAAGCTCGGAAGACAAATCATTTCAGCTGCTGGGGGTGGGTGATGAGTGATGTTAGTTTTCCTTGTGGCCTTACCTCTTCTAATTGATTTTCATCAGATGACAACAAAGCCCTCTGTTATTGCATTTTTAAAAATGGATCTCACCTAAAGACTCATCAGATTAATCTCTGCTGATAATGCATGTCACTCCAAGAGAAAATACTTTAATGATTTTTAGGTAGATTGTTGTCATAAACTATGCTGCCCTGTTATCTGAGGATGAATTCCTTTACAACCATATCAGGCCTGCAGGCTGGTTTAGGATTGAAATAAGAATGTACCTACTTTTAAAGAAAGCTGAACATGATCACTTTATCTGTTCATTTTTATATTTCAGTTATATTTTTCTAGGATTTATTTTTCAGTTACTAAAATATGTTCTTGTCTAAATTACACTAAGTAGTATTTTTTTTTTATTTCTGGGCTTTACATTTAAACATAAATGGGTTAACTGCATCAAATTTTAGGAGCTGTTTAAATTTGCTATGTATTTTTCTTTTTTTAAGCATTTACTGACCTATATCTCTTGTGTGACTGTTTTTAGGGATATATAAAGAAGTAGTATTGTTCAGGTCATAAAATATCTTAATATATGGAACTAGAAGCTTAAAAATATAAAATTTAAGCTGTTTTTTCATTTTACAATAATTTTGTAACAGTCTAAGCAGCATAAGGTGTTAATTTCTTATAGGCCAGTTATAGTGCAATAACTAATATTTTGAGATATGGTGGAGAACAAATTCAACTAGAATATATAATATTTAGACAAGAAAAGTAGTTAGTATAAGATAAAATAAGCACATGGTTTAAAAGCATATAATTATCTTTAGCACTTTAACAGAAAGGTACCACATAAGTGAAACATTAATAATTTACAGTGAAAAATCTACCCCACAGGACCAAGATATATTGATACGTGAGGACTCTCTGGAGGTTCATGAAGGAATAGTTGTCTTTATGATTCTTAGAGTCATTTTCCCTTATGCATTCATTTTGAAGCATGAGTTATGTATCCATGATAGAAAGCTAGATAATGAATTGATTGTTTGGTGCTTATTTACTTAGATTCTTTTACCTTTTGGAGGCCTCATTCCAGTCCCACATGTTACTCTTAGTGACATGAAGAATTTGCATGGCTCATGTTTGTTTTTTGTTTTTCTTAAAGGATCTGTTAGTACAGTAAAAAGCATCTGTTGCACTAAAGGCTGTGTTTACCTTAACTTTGACTTAGTTTTTATTACAAACTCTAAATAGAGGAATTTTTCTTTGTGGTCTGCTGCAGATTTTGGACTGCAACAGATAGCTGAGGGCCCAGGCTCTGAAGACCAAAGTTTGGTAGTTTTCAAATTTTAATGTGTCTGTAAATCACTAGGTAATAGGTAAACTTGTAAAACGAAATGCCCATTTCTGTGCCTCATGCTGGCAGAGTGAAATTGGATAATGTGCTTAGAGTGAAGCCAGGAAATTTGCAGTTTTAAGGAACACCTTCAGCTGAATATAATGTAGGTACTCCTTAGATGAAACCGAGAAACACTGATCTGTAAGGTAAAGTTCAAGATTTAGCCAGTGGTACTATGTTCCATGATGGACTAGGGACTCTAGGTCTTAATTCATTTCTTTTGTATCTTCGTAGAAAGACCTTAAACATAATAATTATTCTTTAACAACTCTTAAGGCATGCAATGGTCAGGTAACCCTTGAGTAAAAGGAGACCTGGAACTCTGTCACTGCCATGAGGGACAGTGGGCAAGTCACTTGTCTCTGGGCCAGTTCCTTTGGCTATGAGTTAGATGGACTCTGTGGTAGTTTTTGGATCTCCTCCCAGATATGACATGCTTAGGTTGAGTTACTGAAAGTACTTAGAAAGTACTTAGTTTTTCCTTAGCACTTAGAAATAAATTATCTTAAAATGTTTTATATGCCCAAATATAGTCCATTCTCACATATTGGGTAACCTTCAGTCCAGTGAAAAATTTTAAAAAATGTTAGAACAGATTGTATGTGTCTACTTTAATGATTGTAAATGAAATAGCAAAATGGCTACTTAATGCTGTTTATTATTACTTTACTAGAATGTCAATTTTCCAATGAATATCTTTTTACTGTCCATCTTGGGGTGTTTAAGATATAGCCATTTTGTATTCTGTGTAAGATTCTCATATTGGAAAACTTATTCTAAGCCATAAATATTTCCTTAATAGTGGGACACTTAAAAATTTGACCTGTATTTATAATATTCATGATAGGTACAGTATTCTCACTATATTAAATTGTATAAGTGATCTTTAAAAAGTTTCTTTTAAGAGACAACCAGTACTTTAAAACTGTAAATTCATATCTTCACTAAAAATCCATTTTATCAAGTCAAAGAGTCTCTATAAGCATCTAAAGCAAGCATTGACTGAAGTTGACTCAGGCTAATTTATCTTTCCCAAATACTATTACTTTGTCATTCAAAATCAAATAATTGAGAGACCTACCAGAATAGATATTTTGTCAGGATTTGAATATAAAGTGAGGGATAATTTTTTGAGGGAAAAACCTTGAGTTTATATTTGGGCATATCCAGCATACATTTCTTTTTAAGCAATCCAGGTTGACTCAAACAATTGTTTATTCTAAGTTTTATAGGTTTATTAATCAAGGAATTTGAAAATGTTTGCATTTGTCTCCTTATGGTTTTAGATTGTCTTGTCTCCCCTGTTTTCCTGTATGGAATACTTGGCATCCTCTTTCCTCTTTGGTGTGTTAAGAGCTACCCATGCTTCAGGTGCTTAGACCTCATGCTTAGACCTCAGAGGTCTAAGTTTATTTCCTGATCCCACAGACAAGATCAGAACCCTCTGCCAACCCCACAACTCAGGTCCCCCCATATGATTGTAAATTCTCTGTAAGAAAAGGCAGGATCTGACTGCTATAGTATCCCCAGAATCAAGGCAGGTTCCTATATTCAATAGATTTAAGTTTAAAAAATGAATGAAGATTAAAAATTGATGATAGCTTTTTTGTGTTTTTCTTTTCACCTTTCATTGAGGAAAGCAAATAGAAGCATAAATGATCATAGCATTGAGTTTAGTGTGGTGATTATACATCAAAGTGTTGTACAAACTTTGAGAGGAGAAATATGGAATGTGTAACTAAATTCATACTTATTTTGAGCTATATCTTATTTTTCATTTTTGTTTAATGTACTCTCTTGAGATCCACTTTGACTGTGCTCTTTTGGCTATGTTATCCTTGATTCTGCTTTCTTAATTTTCAGAGGACATATATCAGGAGTTCTTTTCTATACACTTTCATTAAATTCTAATACTGAAGCCCTCTGTTGACTGTTTTTGGAAACACTGAATGCTGTTGTTGAGCAGCTTTCTTTTCCTTTGTAGGAATGCTGACCATGTAAAACTCCTTAAATTAGATTTTACCATTTCGTAATGCTGTACTTGATATTAGCGTAGGGTATGGATGACCTTGGCCAGACATGTCTGTAACCAATAGTCTGAATCTAATTACTTCTGCTAGTGTTCTTGTGAACTTCACCTATCTCACTTACTAGATTTCCTGCTATTACTATTTCTTGGAGATATCTTTTTTTTTTTTTTTCTGATATCAGGAATAACTGTACCTTTCGCAGGTATTTTGAAGTTAGTAATGAATAGTATGTTAAACTCAGGGTGAGGTGACTGATTCTTAACACCATTTGTCATTAAATAAGAAAATCACTGACTTTCATATTTTAGTATGTCCCATTTGCAAGATGGTAATGGTAATATTCTAGATATTTAACCTCCACTAACCACATGCTAGTTGCTATGGGGATAAAGAGATGAATAAAACATGAATTTTGCCCTTGTATATAAAGACTACAGGCTCTAAAGTCATGTAGGCCTAGATCTGTGCCCTGGCTTCCCCACTTACTAGTTGAGTGAACTTTAGCAAGTTGTTTAACCTCTCTTTGCTTCGGTTTCTTTATCTTTAAAGTGGGACACAACAGCACCTATCTCATTTGGTTATTATGAGTATTAATTGGATAGATAAAGTGTCTAGAATCCATATAGCAAGAGCTTAGTACCTGTTAGCTAATAGTAGTTATTAATGTAATTGGATACTTTAGAATCCCATAGAGGAGATATATTAGGAAGATCCTTCTGTGTTATGCTAAGGAGTTCAGATTATAATTAATGGTAGTTCAGATTATAATGTAGTTTTTTACACTTGATCTTAGCCAAAAGGCCGAGAAGCAATTATAATGTAGTTTTTTAAATTTATTTTTTTATTGAAGAATAATTTCTTTACAGAATTTTGTTGTTTTCTATCAAACCTCAACATGAATCAACCATAGGTATACATATATCCCCTCCCTTTTGAATCTCCCTCCCCATCCCACCCCTCTAGGTTGATACAGAGCCCCTGTTTGAGTTTCCTGAGCCATACAGTAAATTCCTGTTGGCTATCTGTTTTACATATGGTAGTGTAGTTATGAATGGGTAAATAACAAGATTAGATTTGTTACTTTTACATTCCATTTCTGTGATTAGAAGTGATTTGGAAAAAGCACTGCAATGGGAAGAGATTCTTTACCTGCTAAATCAGAGATTCTGTAATCTTTGTTTCTGTTTCTGCACTGTTCACACACATTGAATTCTTCCATCGTCCATCACTTATTCAGTCATCCATGCACAGTTGTCATCTGTGTGCCAGGCACTGGAGGTATAGCAGTGCAAGACAATCATGGTCTTTGTTCTCATAGAGCTTAGAGTCTACCAGGGTATCAATATGCAGATCTGGCTCTGTCCTTCCCTATGTAAAAAGTTTCAGTAACTTTATATCACTTCAGAATGAAGTCTAAGACCCTTTAACATGACACGTGAGACTATGGGGTCTGACCTTTGCTTGCCTCTCTCAGTTCATCTGTCTTCTCTCCCTATTTGGTTCCCTGTACTTCTCTTACTTGCCTCTGTTCCCCTGCAAGTGCTGAGCTTCTATTGAAATGTTATTTGCTTGCTTTAACTGGTTTTAACTGCTTTAAAAGCAGCTAATGTATCACTTCCTCCAAAGAACATTCCCTTATACTCTGCTGCTCCCCCCACTGCCAAGCTTTCACCTCTTAGAACAGTGCTTGGTACATGCTTGTTATGCCACACACTTATGTTTAACAAATGAACTACCAGTGTGCTAACAATCCATTCATTGTCTTATTAGATTTAACAAGAGTCTAGGGCAGTGTCAGTGGAGATGTTGAGGAGAGGCTAGTTTCAAGAAGTCTTTATAAGGTGAAATCAATATTGAGTAGCAGATTAGATGTGGGAAAAGAGATTCTAAGCTAAGGAAACTCTGGTAACTGCTGGTCATGCCATTAACTGAGACTGGGATTCCAAGAAGGGAAGCAGGTGAGGAGCCATGAAGAATTCAGGTTCGGGGCATGCTAGGTTAAAAAGGCATTTGGAATCTATCCAGAAAAAAAGTAGATAATAGTTAAAGACGTGAATACAGAGATTTGGATTGATTACAACAAAGAGCTATAGGTTTGGAGTTATAATCATGTTTGAGACTGTTGGAGTAGATATTTACCCAAGAAAAATGAGTAATAGGTGTTTTGGAATGGTTTCATTGAAAAGGTGGCATTTGAAATAATATGTTTGAGAAAGCTTGAAAGGGCATGATGAGCAGGGGGGATTATTTTGTCTCCTTCAGTTACTGGGAATCTTCTAATCCCTTTAATTAATGTATTTTCCTTTTAATGATTTCACGTGTGATTTATGTATTCCTTATAAAAGTAATTGGGATATTAACCTGAAGATTATAGAGAATGGATACCTGTTTTAATATTATTTTTATCTCCTGAACCAAATTCCAGATAAAGAGTTTTCATCTTGCTGATTCTCTTCTTTCTTACCATAATTTTGCTACTTATGCCCTCATGTTATTGAACCAAGAACTGTATAACTGTTGTGATTTGTTGATTTAGAAAGCTCAGCTCTAGAAATGTTCTGTCTGACTTCACTGATTCTTATGATCAGCTTGGTTGTTGCCCCCTGTAACTGAGAACTCCTATCATGTTCCTCCTCAATTTACTATTTATGGGGCTCAGCAAGGTCCTCACCTAAATCCAGAATGCTGTTAATCTTTAATGCCTTCCCCAAGTTCATGTTAGAGGGGTGAACAGAGTCTATTTTAATGTCTCATTATGTTGTTTTCTGTTACTTGAATGTCATATTTTTTTATATTAATCTTTATAATGCAGAGTCTAAGTCTAGGTCCCAAATCTATTTTCTTTCCTCATTGTTCTCCCATTAGGCCTAATATATGACAGTAAGTATCTGAGGGGAAAACAAATCTTATCACTTACTTAAATGTGTCTTGTTTTGAACAGCTTTACTCAGGCCTAGAGCCTTAGTACTTTAGCATGAGACTATCAGGTAAGTTGTGTTGTTATCATCTATCAAGCTGACTAGGCATATGTGACTGTCACCTCAATTTCTGTAGAAATCAGTATTTTTTTCTATAGCAATAATCTTGACTTTCCACCTAGGAGAGCGTAAAGATACAACAGTAGCTGTGACACACTCCATGGTGATTCTTCCCTGGGATTTGGGAGTTTATCAGAATCTCCAGGGGTACTTATAATTTGAAAAAGTCCCCCAGGTGTGATTCTGATTTGCTTCCTTCTCCTCCTCCTCCTCCTGTGAGAATCACTTTTTAATCCAGAAGCTTCAGCATAGATAGGCACATTTATTGCCATATTATCCTTGCATAGTTGAGCTCCCCAGTCTCCATACCCATCCTTCCCTTCTGAGTGATCCCCAGTAGTGCTAATACCATAACTTATGAAAACACTGCCTGCCTTTCACCAAAGCTGTAGCTATCACGAAAGCAGCCCGGTTAGTGTTTGGAAACCTACAAGCAAGGAGGTCTCCACAAGCTTCAGGGCCAGGTTTAATTATGTGGTTTACTTAAATGGGAGCCCTTTGCAAAGACTTAGATGGGAGTCCAAGGTTTATACTAACATCACTCCCTCTTCCAATTTGATTCCAACATTTTTTGGTGAAAATATTAAACTCTACAGCAACATGGAAAGAATTTTAGGGTGATCACCTGTGTATCCACAACCTAGATTCTACAATTAACATTTTAACATGCTTGCTTAATCATATGTCTACCCAGATATTTATCCTTCTGTTCACCTATTCACCATTTTTTAAGCATTTCACAGTAAATTCCAAATAGCAGTATAATTTCCCCTAAATACTTCAGTATGCATATTATTAACTAGAGTTTAATATTTGTTTATAGCTTTTTCTTCTGATGTAAAATTTACATGTGGTAAAGTGCCCAAATCTTAAGTGCTCATTATCTGAGTGTTGACAAATGATAAAATCTGTATAACCCAAATCCTTGTCAAAATACAGGAGATTTTAACACCCTCTTTTTTTCTGCCCAGATTATTCCCTCTTGACTTTCTATAGTCTCTGAGTTAAAGATAAGAAAGAGGCTTGTCAGTGTTTTCAGGACAAATAGGGATTGATGCTTCATGATGGATTGACAGATTTCTATTTTCCCTTGCCAAAGTACCTTGTGTTTTAAATTGTGTATGAATGTTTTAAAACAGAAGACTTGAAGGAATTCTCTGGCAGTCCAGTGGTTAGGGCTTGGAGTTTTCACAGCAGGGGCCCTGGTTCGATCCCTGCTTGGGGAACTAAGATCTCACAAGCCACATGTCATGGCCCAGAAAAAGAAAAAAAAAAATTTAATAAAAACATAAACCAGGAGACTAACTTGCCTTTCTGATTTTAAGTACTTATTTTTTAAAATAGATATAAATACTTTAGTTAGTTAAGTATTTTATAAAGCAGGAGGTCCAGTTTGATGAAATGTGAGGCTATATGCATAAAAATATAACTGAGGAAGAGAAAGGAAGTAGAAGTGAGATGGGGGAAAAAAAATCACATAAATATTGATATATTTATGAATATGTAGTCAATTGATTAAAAATATGTGTATCTAACATCACAAGATATAGTTTAGCCTGATGGCAGTGTCATGCTATTTATTCAAGAATATCAGCATATCATAATCTGCCTTTAGGACAATACACATTAAATTCCTTTCACTATTGGTCTTGAGTATTTGTCATTTTACTGTTAATGCCTTTATGCCTGGCAAATAGCTCTTTTTTAAAAATAGCTCTTATTTAGGGTAGCATATTTTAATTTATGCTAATATATTTTGAATATGGCATCCGTTTGATATTACTTGTTTGTATTTTATGAGGAGTAACACATAAGTGTTTTTCAAGTAAAATAATTCTAGTCTCAAAAGGAAAGCTATGACAAAGTAAATTGTGTTATTTCCATAATAAAAATATATAGGAAACATGCAGGCATTTGCATATAGTTCCTGAAATATTGCATACTGTCTTTGTCAGTGCTGGTAAATCCATTTCAAGGATGTTGCCCTTAGTCCATTAGTTTGGATAATGAGCCCTATAAAGTACATTTATAACTTGTGGCACTGCAAGGAGATGGATTCTAATTTTCATCCTTTTATCTAGACACACTGAGAGAAGGTCAATGGAGGGTACTATATGATTCATTGTCCCAACACATATCAGATGACAGAGACCTGATAATGTCCATGCATAAGTGTTTTCTTTATTTGGAAATAGCACTTGAAAGAAATCTTTCTATGATCATCCTCTGAAGTAAATTGAAAACAGATATTAAAAATGCTCTATCCCTCCCCCCGTGTTTTTTGGTTTAAAACATTATCACACTTGTTGCAAGATAGCTATTCTTGAACAAAAGAGAAAGTGACACTTAACAGAAAAATAAGCCTTTAGTGGCTTTTATAGGCTGTGAATGATATAACAAGATACTTAACTTTTCCTCCCCCTTTTCTTAGATCTGTTAAGAAAAAAAAAGCCTATTTTCTAAACAAAGAAAAATCTTCTATGTTCCTAAACATTAGAAAAGCTTATAGCATAATAGTTGTCCTAACTTTACTCTTACTATTAATAGCATTCAAAATAAATATTTAAGTTCTAGTCCACACTTAATAGTTTAAAATGCTTCAAAATAGTGACAAGAATATATATCCTGCAATTTAGTGTAAGTTTTGTGTCAAAAATGTGTACTTGTGGGCAATTTTAAAATCTTTTCACAAATTAGTTTTAGATTCAGGATTGGTAGCTAGCTGATTATGTTTGTTTTCTTTATTATGTAATCATCAATGAGAACTTTTTTCTGTGCTTATCTTCTTTGTAGATGTAAAGCAATCATAGATCAGTATGGTCAGAGAATAATCTCTAAGCATTTCCTTGTGGAAGACAGTTATTTGTCTGAGAACACATGCTCACATGTGCAATACAGGTAAGACACCCCTCCAGCCACTCTACAAGGGAAGGTGAAATTTAGGGAAATTCATCTGTGTGGTTACATTGACAATTCTGTATGGTTCTGTTCTTCAAGTAAGATGCAAATGTATACCAAACCAAAGATATATTCAGTTTGTTACCACTGTTATCTTATAAGGTCTGGTTTGAGGGGAACCTAGCCTAATGTTGACTCCATTGCATCAGCTGGGGTCTGTCTGCAGGTCACACATTCTCCTTTCCTGAGCCAAGAAAAGATTAAAGCAGAACTTGATTTGGTTTGGGGAGGTGACACTTTTATCATGACTCAAGTCTTTCAAACATACCTTATGGTGGTCATATAGCTATATAAATGAGATTTATCCATGGAATCTGAGTCACTGATTAACTTTTCTGCATTACAGGCAGATCTCCAGGGCAGTCTTGATTACAGATAGATCTGTTCTCAAAACAGATTCAGATCAACAGGTAATTATAGTCCTGTACTTGTTGGTAACATGTTGCTAACTTAATCTACATGGTAATATATTGTAAATTAATATAGGTGAAATAAAATATATTAAAAAATATGTTCTAGTAATATATTTAATACATTTTAAAGATACATAATGGCAATTATGTAATAATTTTGGTTTCTTAAAGATTTCCTTCCAGTGGAACAACTAATTGCATCTTATGTAACAGATTTATTCTAGGAATATTGAAATCATCTTAGTTTTTTTTTACAATTATGGAATTGAAAATATATTACTATGAGAAGAAAAGCGTTTAGAAACATTTAAAAATCTTGGATGAGATGAGGATGATATGGTTAGGTCGCATCACTGACTCAGTGAAAGTGAATTTGGCCAAACTCTGGGAGATAGTGAAGGACAGGGAAGCCTGACATGCTGCAGTCCATGCGGTTGCAAAGAGTTGGACACAACTTAGCAACTGAACAACAACAACAACAAACATCTTGAAGGAAAAGGCTTAATGGTAACCAGTCCTATAGCAGTGGTGGTAAGTTCACTGTTAGAGGCCTAGTGTGAATGAGCATCAGCATGCATTTTCAATTCAGGCTTTCCTCATCACCATGGTTCATTTTGGTACCCTCTTCCTCCTCATAACCACTGATTCTATCAGTGGAATCTTTATACCTGTGGTTTTTCCTTAATCTGAACACATAAATTCCAAAAGAATGCCCTCTTCTCCTTCTGAAAACAGTTTACAGAACTGATAACATGAGCTTACTCAGTAAGCGTGAATGTCAGATCTAGCCTGTATGCTACTGCTTAAGATAGGTTCTGAAATTTCCTTAAGTTGGAAACTTTCTATTTTATTAAACAAATATGTTAGTTTTAAGTGTGAGTGCAAATTCTTTCATTTAATCATTCAACAGAGAGTGAGTACATTTCACATGCCAGCCAGTGTGCTAGATTCTGAGGAGATAGTACTGACCATGATAGCATCCGTCCCCTCATAGCTTGCAGTCTGTAGGATAGAGATTGTCTATTGTTGTTTAGTCGCTAAGTCGTGTTCGAGTCTTTTTCAACCCCATGGACTATAGCCCACCAGGCTTCTCTGTCCATGGGATTCTCCAGGCAAGAATACTGCAGTGGGTTGCCATGCCCTCCTCCAGGGGATCTTCCTGACCCAAGGTCCAACTGAGTCTGGAGGTCATGGGTTTATAGTAACATTAATATGCTCCCATCCTTTCAGCTCTTTCATTCTGTTACCCCTTCCCACTGCTCACTGACATGTTAAGAGAGACCTACAGTTCCTTGTTCCCTCTGTTTCCTCCCAGATTACCAGCTCCCTTCTGCCCTCTTCCATTTCCATGTACTAGACCACATGGTAGATCTTACGAACTGCTCTTCCTTAAAAACCTTCAATTCCCATGTAATGTTCTTCTGTACCCACAGAGGAAAGTCCCATCCCTAGATGAAGCTTGGATCTGCACTTGGAGCACTAAGGGCTGATTGGGAAACTATACATCCAGATAGACTGGCACCACCACAGTGTTGGTGGCACCAACCTCTTCTAGTAGAACCCTGAGTACCTACCAACAGTTAGCTCCTCACTGGCCTCAGACAGCTCCCTCTCACCTCAGAGCTAGTCTTAAGTTTTCACTATTTTTACCCACCCTTAGCCCTCTAACTTCTCCCCCATCACTTTAATAAGAAAAGTAAGGACACCTACAAAGCTCAGTGGCCCTTGATCTCCTGCCTCACCACCCACAACTTAGATACACGAACATAGAGACTAATGAGGGGGCTCCCCCTCCTTATCCAAGGCCAATCCTTTTTACAAGCACCTTTGACACACACATGTGCCCACATCACCCAGTATGCCTGCTGTCTCTCCTACATCTTCAGCCTCTCCCAACTATTGGCACCTTCCCCTCAACCTGTACATATGTATTAGCATTTTCTGTTCCAAAAATTTAAAAAAAAACAGAAAAATGCTCTTCGAGTCTGTACCTATTTGCAGCTAGTATCCAATCTCTCCCCTGCCCTTATCAATATTTTTGAGATGGTATCTCTGCTTGCTGCCTCCAGCTCCTTACCTCTCATTATTTCTAGATCAACCTGGCTTCTACTATCAAATTCCTACTACAGCTTCTCTTCATAAATTTATTAATAACTTCATATTAGTCTGGACCACAGGACATTTTTGGGTTTTGTTTCCTAAGTATTTCTGGTATGTCTGACAGTGTTGACAGTTCCCTTTCTCTTGAAACTCTACTCCTTTGACTACCATGACACTTTGTTCTCCTGGTTCTCCTCATAACTCTCTGGCTATTTCCTCTTGACTTCCTCTGTGGGCTCTATCCTCCTCCTAAATATCAGGCCACCTCGGGGTTCTGAGTACAGTCCACCATACCTCTTACTCTGCATGCTTGCCACTTGACTCCATGTACTTTTATGATTTCTGACTCTGCAAAGCCTTCCTTGTCTATATCTCCTGGGACTGTTAGCCCAAAGGCCAAATTTCCTACTGTACATCTATCCCAAGGACCCCTCAAACTGAACATACTCAGGGCTGAACTCACCATCTTCCCTCTCAAAACTGCTCAGCCAGTGCTTCCTACTTCCATGAAAGCACTGACGTCCTTCCAACATCTACTCCCATCTTGGACATGTCGTGAACCTCCAGGTCCTTGTCAGTATACTTCCTTGAAGTCGCCCAAGTCTGCTTTCCTCTCAATCCTTCTTCTAACTGCTCTGATTTCAGAGCTCATCACCTCTTCCATCTAACTGATCGCCCTGCCTCTCATCTTGTCTCCTTTAAATCTGTCCTCTTACACAGCCATCAGAGAGATCAGTCTAAAACGTATATCTGGTGTGCCGTTTTTTTGTTTCCTATATGTTTTCTTTTTTCTCTTTCTGAATTTTTGAATCATAAATAAATTGATGAAACTTAGAGGAAAGAGTGGTGTGATCACTCACCTAGAACCAGACATCCTAGAATATGAAGTCAAGTGGGCCTTAGGAAGCATTACTACGAACAAAGCCAGTGGAGGTGATGGAATTCCAGTTGAGCTATTTCAAATCCGAAAAGATGACTCTGTGAAACTGCTGCACTCAATATGCCAGCAAATTTGGAAAACTCAGCAGTGGCCACAGGACTGGAAAAGGGCAGTTTTCATTCCAGTCCCAAAGAAAGGCAATGCCAAAGAATGCTTAAACTGCCGCACAATTGCACTCATATCACATGCTAGTAAAGTAATGCTCAAAATTCTCCAAGCCAGGCTTCAGTAATATGTGAACTGTGAACTTCCAGATGTTCAGGCTGGTTTTAGAAAAGGCAGAGGAACCAGAGATCAAATTTGCAACATCTGCTGGATCATTGAAAAAGCAAGAGAGTTCCAGATAAGCATTTATTTCTGCTTTATTGACTATGCCAAAGCCTTTGACTGTGGATCACAACAAACATTGGAAAAGACTTCAAGAGATAAGAATACCAGACAATCATACCTGCCTCCTGAGAAATCTGTATGCAGGTCAAGAAGCAACAGTTTGAACTGGACATGGAACAACAGACTGGTTCCAAATTGGGAAAGCAGTACTTCAAGGCTGTATATTGTCACCCTGCTTATTTAACGTACGTGTAGAGTACATCATGTTAAATGCCAGGCTGGATGAAGCACAAGTTGGAGTCAACATTGCCGGGAGAAATATCAATAACCTCAGATATGCAGATCACCCTTATGGCAGAAAGCAAAGAAGAACTAAAGAGCCTCTTGATGAAAGTAAAAGAGGAGAGTGAAAAAGCTGGCTTAAAGCTCAGCATTCAGAAAACGAATATCATGGCATCTGGTCCTATCACTTCATGACAGATAGATGGGGAAACAATGGTAATGGTGACAGACTTTATTTTTTGGGCTCCAAAGTCACTGCATATGGTGACTGCAGCCATTAAATTAAAAGATGCTTGCTCCTTGGAAAAAAAACTATGACCAACCTAAACAGCAAATTAAAAAGGAGAGACATCACTTTGCTGATAAAGTGATAAAGGTCCATATAGTAAAAGCTCTGGTTTTTCCAGTAGTCATGTATGAATGTGAGAGTTGGACTATAAAGAAACCTGAGTGCCTAAGAACTGATGCTTTTCAGTTGTGGTGTTGGAGATTTGAGAGTCCCTTGGACGGGAAGGAGATCAAACTAGTCAATCCAGAAGGAAATCGGTCCTAAATATTCATTGGGAGGACTGATGCTGAAGGTGAAACTCCTTTGGCCACTTGATGTGAGGAACTGACTCATTGGGAAAACACTGAGCATCCCAAAGAATGCTCAAATTACTGCACAATTGCACTCATCTCACACACTAGTAAAGTAATGCTCAAAATTCTCCAAGTCAGACTTCAGCAATCCATGAACCGTGAACTTCCAGATGTTCAGGCTGGTTTTAGAAAAGGCAGAGGAACCAGAGATCAAATTGCCAACATCTGATGGATCATTGAAAAAGCAAGAGAGTTCCAGAAAAACGTCTATTTCTGCTTTATTGACTATGCCAAAGCCTTTGACTGTGTGGATCACAATAAACTGTGAAAAATTCTGAAAGGGATGGGAACACCAGACCATCTGACCTGCCTCTTGAGAAACCTGTATGCAGGTCAGGAAGCAATAGTTAGAACTGGACATGGAACAACAGCTGGAATCAAGATTGCCAGGAGAAATATCAGTAACCTCAGGTATGCAGATGACACCATCCTTATGGCAGAAAGTGAAGAGGAACTAAAAAGCCTCTTGATGAAAGTGAAAGAGGAGAGTGAAAAGTTGGATTAAAGCTCAACATTCAGAAAACTAAGATCATGGAATCTGGTCCCATCACTTCATGGTAAATAGGTGGGGAAACAGTGGAAACAGTGTCAGACTTTATTTTTGGGGGCTCCAACATCACTGCAGATGGTGATTGCAGCCATGAAATTAAAAGATGCTTACACCTTGGAAGGAAAGTTATGACCAACCTAGACAGCATATTAAAAAGCAGAGACATTACTTTGCCAACAAAGGTCCGTCTAGTCAAGGCTATGGTTTTTCCAGTGGTCATGTATGGATGTGAGAGTTGGACTGTGAAGAAAGCTGAGCACCGAAGAATTGATACTTTTGAACTGTGGTGTTGGAGAAGATTCTTGAGAGTCCCTTGGGCTGCAAGGCGATCCAACCAATCCATCCTAAAGGAGATCAGTCCTGGATGTTCACTGGAAAGACTGATGCTGAAACTGAAACTCCAATACTTTGGCCACGTGATGTGAAAAGTTGACTCATTGGAAAAGACCCTGGTGCTGGGAGGGATTGGGGGCAGGTGGAGAAGGGGACGACAGAGGATGAGATGGCTAGATGGCATCACCAACTCAATGGACATGAATTTGAGTAAACTCCGGGAGTTGGTGATGGACAGGGAGGCCTGGCATGCTGCGATTCATGGGGTTGCAAAGAGTCGGACATGACTGAGCAACTGAACTGACTGAACTGAACTGAGAGGAAAGAGTAGGTGTTTGTTTAGGTAAAATTTATCAAAGAGTTTTCAAGAATTGAAGGAATTACCTTTTGATGGCTTTTATAATCTCTCTGTGATTCAAGATATTTACCTTTTCAAGAGTTGAGACAGAAGGCACTGTAGTAGGGGGCCACTTATTATATGTGATAGTTGTCCTAAACAAAAGAAGTACTTAGATGTTGGTCCAATCCTTAAGATACCTTTTCAGTTATATACATGTTTTTAGTCTTAATTGTTTGATAATAATTGTGCAATGTTAGGGGCTTCCCATGTGGCACAGTGGTAAAGAATCCTCCTGCAATGCAGGAGACAGAGGAGATGTGAGTTGGATCCCTGGGTTGGGAAAATCCTGAAGGAGGAAATGGCAATGCATTCCAGTATTCTTGCCTTGGAAATCCCAGGGACAGAGAAATCTGGTGGATTACAGTCCACAGATTCTTAGAGTTGGGCATTACTGAGCACGCATGCACACATTAAATCCATGTTTTAGTGGCGCCTCTCTTTTTACTGCTTCAGTACAACATTTTTTATCATAGCAGCAAAAGGAGTTGAGGAATATGGAGAACACTGTTTTTGTTTCTTTTTTTTTTATTTTTTTATTTTTTTTCATTTATTTTTATTAGTTGGAGGGTAATTACTTTACATCATTGCAGTGGGTTTTGTCATACATTGAAATGAATTAGCCATGGATTTACATGTATTCCCCATCCCAGTCCCCCCTCCCACCTCCCTCTCCATCCGATCCCTCTGGGTCTTCCCAGTGCACCAGGCCCGAGCACTTGTCTCATGCACCCAACCTGGGCTGGTGATCTGTTTCACCCTAGATAATATACGTGTTTCGATGCTGTTCTCTTGAAACATCCCACCCTCGCCTTCTCCCAGAGTCCACAAGTCTGTTCTATACATCGGAGTCTCTTTTTCTGTTTTGCATATAGGGTTATCGTTACCATCTTTCTAAATTCCATATATATGTGTTAGTATACTGTAATGGTCTTTATCTTTCTGGCTTACTTCGCTCTGTATAATGGGCTCCAGTTTCATCCATCTCATTAGAACTGATTCAAATGAATTCTTTTTAATGGCTGAGTAATATTCCATGGTGTATATGTACCACAGCTTCCTCATCCATTCGTCTGCTGATGGGCATCTAGGTTGCTTCCATGTCCTGGCTATTATAAACAGTGCTGCGATGAACATTGGGGTGCACGTGTCTCTTTCAGATCTGGTTTCCTCGGTGTGTATGCCCAGAAGTGGGATTGCTGGGTCATATGGCAGTTCTATTTCCAGCTTTTTAAGAAATCTCCACACTGTTTTCCATAGTGGCTGTACTAATTTGCATTCCCACCAACAGTGTAAGAGGGTTCCCTTTTCTCCACACCCTCTCCAGCATTTATTGCTTGTAGACTTTTGGATAGCAGCCATCCTGACTGGTGTGTAATGGTACCTCATTGTGGTTTTGATTTGCATTTCTCTGATAATGAGTGATGTTGAGCATCTTTTCATGTGTTTGTTAGCCATCTGTATGTCTTCCTTGGAGAAATGTCTGTTCACTTCTTTGGCCCATTTTTTGATTGGGTCATTTATTTTTCTGGAGTTGAGCTGGAGGAGTTGCTTGTATATTTTTGAGATTAATCCTTTGTCTGTTGCTTCGTTTGCTATTATTTTCTCCCAATCTGAGGGCTGTCTTTTCACCTTGCTTATAGTTTCCTTTGTTGTGCAAAAGCTTTTAAGTTTCTTTAGGTCCCATTTGTTTATTTTTGCTTTTATTTCTAAAATTCTGGGATGTGGCTCATAGAGGATCCTGCTGTGATTTATGTCGGAGAGTGTTTTGCCTATGTTCTCCTCTAGGAGTTTTATAGTTTCTGGTCTTACATTTAGATCTTTAATCCATTTTGAGTTTATTTTTGTGTATGGTGTTAGAAAGTGAGAACACTGTTTTTGAGACATTGTAAATCTCCAAATGTATATACAGGTAGTGATAGTAAGAAGGTCATGATTATAAAAAAAAAATTATTTTCAGAACATAAAAGCATTTCCTCTGTTGGCTATCAATATGATGTTGCCAGTTAAAATCTAAACATAATGCTCACAGGTAAAAGTACAAGTAGGGCTTTACTTTTTGGCAATATTTCCTATACAAAACAATATATTTTCCTCAGATTGAAGATTAAACTGAGAATTGGTATTGATACTTTTGGTTCTGTAGAGAAATATTTACCTGACGGTTATTTAAAGTTTTTAAATATAAAGCCATATAGCATATTAGTGGTGCCTAGCACAGCACACTGCATATTAATAGAGTCTCTAAATTAATTTGAAGCCATTCCTTTTGAAATATTTTGGTATTTGTTTAGCTATACTTTAGTATATGTTGATATATGCTTTGCTTATTTAAGTATCTTTGCAATTTTTTTTTAGGTTACATTTCAAATTTTTAGTACTCTATAACTTCTATTTTTAGCCATCATGAATAATCAAAATTAATTTAATGTGCTGTGATTGAAACAATGAAGTGCATACAATTCAGAAATAATGAATTGTGCCTTTATTGTGCCTTCAGTAGGGGGCACAATAAATTGTTTAAGCCTTTGGAACAAAATGAAGTAATTAATCACATCTTTTGAAAATATGTAGTAAGTGAAAGATTTAATTAATATTAAATATATTTGAAATATTTATTGTCCATGAGTTTTAGGACTGCAGTATGTATCATGTATAAATATATCAATAACTTGACACGTGTGCGTGCTTTATGTTTCAAATTTTGTTCTAAAATCAGTCCCACCAGCTAAAGTTTTTTCAAACATCAATGAGTGTTTGAAAAAAGACACTCAGTTTGCTCTAATGATAAAAGAATGAAAATGAGATCTAACAGCTATGTTTGATATTTTGTTTCTGCTTTTTAGATTTCCATTTTGACAGTGCCAGCAGAGGAACCAGGAACTTTTGCTGTTCGAGTCATTGAGTTATGTTCGTCAACAATGACATGCATGAAAGGCTCATGTAAGCACAATAGAGTGTGGTAGTTTGTCTTTTGTGTTTGTTTAGGAAGTAAAGGGCGGAGAAGACAATGGCACCCCACTCCAGTACTCTTGCCTGGAAAATCCCATGGACGGAGGAGCCTGGTAGGCTGCGGTCCATGAGGTCGCTAAGAGTCGGACACAGCTGAGCGACTTTGCTTTCACTTTTCACTTTCATGCACTGGAGAAGGAAATGGCAACCCACTCCAGTATTTTTGCCTGGAGAATCCCAGGGACAGGGAAGCTTGGTGGGCTGATCTCTATGGGGTCATACAGAGTCCAGAGTCGGACACGACTGAAGTGACTTAGCAGCAGCAGCAGCAGGAAGTAGCAGCAGCAGGAAGTAAAGGGGGACAGCAATTCTTACGGTTGTCAGGATTGTATTAATAGAGTTTTGCTACATATATATTTTTTTAATTCATAGTATTTATTCACATCATGTAAGTCATACAATAAGTCATTTCATACCTTCCCCTTGCCTCTGAACATTTCTAAAACTAAATCTTCACATGCACCATTGTTAAGCTATCTATCTGTTCTTCTACCTGTGTGTATCCAAAATTTCTGTCTCAGCACTGTCAGATATCATGCCGCCTACAACATATTTCTTAAAGATGTTTCAGTAAGTAAAATAAGCAAGTGTACATTGGCTATCACTATGCCTAGACCTAAACTGTGTATTCATAGGGATTATTAAGAACAGCTGACATTCCCGATTTGAAGTATTCATAATCTTACTGCACATCCAGTGAAACAAGACAATATTAACTGAGTGCACTGTGCTCTGGTAGGCATATCAGGGTAGCTAAAGATGAATACAACATAGGCCCTGAACTTGGGGGACTCACAGTCTAGTGGGACAGATATGACAAATTCAGAAGTAGCTGTAAGAGGCAGATTATTAAAATATCACAAGAGAGATACTAACAAATTAGACTCTAGATAGTCTTAGAAGGAAAACATAACCGTATCATCAGTTATGATTATTTTAAATTCTGTAAACTTATATTGAGTTTTACTGCAACTGTTAACATGAATTATGAAAAGCCAAAGACTAATCTGATTTGGCCTAGTCAAGGAATATTTGACTATGCTTACAAGTGTAGGACTATTGCTTCCTAAAAAATGGTAAAAACATGGTCAAACAAAGAGAAGTGGGAGCATGATGCCAACAGGGAGAGGCAAGCAAACTTACCCAATATTGCTATAATCCTAAACTTTCATTTGAAAAAGTAGCTCAAGTTTTTCTCCTTTTATAGTGATATAGGTAAATGTTTACCATATTATTTTCCCCCTATTACTTTAGCCAGTTTTTTTGTGTGTATCAGTTTATCTGTTAGCATCTAAAATATAAAACTGCACTCATTTTGAATTTTCTAAATTGCATTTATTTTATGTTTGTGAATATTTTTTTAAAATTTACTTTTATAGATTATTTTTCTATGTGAAATATTTTATATTCCCAGTCTTAATAATATATATTCACTGTTGACAATTTGGAAGATGTAAAAAAGAAAAGTAAAATTAGTATAATCCTTCTTCTTAGAAATGATAAACACTTGATTATGTTTGTCTTTTTTAGATGTGTATGCATATATATTTTCATTAAAATGCAATACTATTTATATACTATTTATAACCTGCCTTTTAAAAAGACTTTAATACAGCAAAAATCTTTTTGTAATTCTATGATATAATTTTCAATGATTGTGGATATGCCATTTTTATTTAATCCCATGATGTTGAGATTATTTTGAAAAATTTTGCTTAATAGCCCTATAAAAACCAGCCATTTTTATAAGTAAATATTTATGAGCATCAGTTGTTTCTTGTAAGATTTTTTGAGTGGAATTATTGGGTCAAAGTAGTTTTTTTAAATTTTAGAATAATTATGGATTCATAGAATTTGCAAAGATAGTACACAGAGGTCGCATGCATCCTTCATCTAATTTTTTCCATTAGTTAAATTTTACCAAATTATAGTACAATATCAAAACCAGTAATTTGACATTGGTTCAATGTGTGTATGCTTTTGCCATATAGATAATGTTTTTTTGATTTTCTCTCAAGTCTACATTCCAGATTTTTCTCCTTAGTCTTCGAGTTATAGAATTTTGATTATGATGTCTCTTGGCATTTATTTCTTTGGATTTATTCTATTTGAAATTTATGCAGTTTCTTGAATCTGCAGGTTTATATCTTTTTTTTCAAATTTGTGAAATTTTTGTCTTTTATTTCTTTGAGTATTTTTCAGCGAACATTCTTTCTCCATCTGGGGCTATTATGCCATGTCTATTAGATCTTTTCTTTTTTTTAATTAATTAATTTATTTTATTGGAGGCTAATTACTTTACAGTATTGTAGTGGTTTTTGCCATACATTAACATGAATCAGCCATGGGTGTACATGTGTTCCCCATCCTGAAGACCCTCCCACGTCCCTCCCCATCCCATCTCTCAGGGTCATTCCAATGCACCGGCCCTGAACGCCCTGTTTCATGCATTGAACCAGGACTGGTAATCTGTTTCACATATGATAATATACATGTTTCAATGCTATTCTTTCAAATCATCCCACCCTCGCCTTCTCCCACAGAGTCCAAAAGTCTGTTATTTACATCTGTGTCTCTTTTGCTGTCTCGTATATAGGGTCATTGTACCATCTTTCTAAATTCCATATATATGCGTTAGTATCCTATATTGGTGTTTTTCTTTCTGACTTACTTTACTCTGTATAATGGGCTCCAGTTTCATTCATCTCATTAGAACTGATTCAAATGCATTCTTTTTAATAGCTGAGTAATATTCCATTGTGTATATATACCACAGCTTTCTTATCCATTTGTATGCCAGTGGACATCTAGGTTGCTTCCGTGTCCTGCTATTGTAAACAGTGCTATGATGAACATTGGGGTACATTTGTCTCTTTCACTTCTGGTTTCCTCGGTGTGTATGCCTAGCAGTGGGATTGCTGGGTCGTATGGCAGTTCTGTTTCCAGTTTTTTAAGGAATCTCCACACTTTTCTCCATAGTGGCTATACCAGTTTGCATTCCCACCAACAGTATAAGAGGGTTCCCTTTTCTCCGCACCCTCTCCAGCATTTATTGTTTGTAGACTTTTTGATAGCAGCCATTCTGACCGGTGTGAGATGATACCTCATTGTGGTTTTGATTTGCATTTCTCTGATAATGAGTGATGTTGAGCATCTTTTCATGTGTTTGTTAGCCATCTGTATGTCTTCTTTGGAGAAATATCTGTTTAGTTCTTTGGCCCATTTTTTGATTGGGTCATTTATTTTTCTGGAATTGAGCTGTAGGAGCTACTTCTATATTTTTGAGATTAATTCTTTGTTTGCTATTATTTTGTCCCATTCTGAAGACTGTCTTTTAACCTTTCTTATAGTTTCCTTTGTTGTGCAAAAGCTTTTAAGTTTAATTAGGTCCCATTTGTTTATTTTTGCTTTTACTTCCATTATTCTGGGAGGTGGGTCATAGAGGATCCTCCTGTCATTTATGTCAGAGTGTTTTGCCTGTTTTCCTCTTAAGAGTTTTATAATTTCTGGTTTTAACATTTAGATCTTTAATCCATTTTCAGTTTATTTTTGCTTGTCAGTAAAGCTTTTGATTTCTCCTTCACATCTGAATGAGATCCTTGCTGGGTATAGTATTCTGGGTTGTAGGTTTTTCTCTTTCATCACTTTAAGTATGTCCTTACATTCCCTTCTAACCTGAACAGTTTTTATTGAAAGATCAGCTGTTATCCTCATGGGGATCCCCTTGTGTGTTATTTGTTGGTTTTCCCTTGCTGCTTTTAGTATTTGCTTTTTGTACTTGATCTTCATTAATTTAATTAATATGTGGCTTTGGGTGTTTCACCTTGGGTTTATCCAGTTTGGAACTCTCTGGGTCTCTTGGACTTGGTTGGCTATTTTCTTCCCCATTTTAGGGAAGTTTTCAACTATTGTCTCCTCAAGTATTTTCTCATGGCCTTTCTTTCTGTCTTTTTCTTCTGGGATTCCTATTATTTGAATGGTGGGGTGTTTAACATTGTCCCAGAGGTGTCTGAGGTTGTCATCATTTCTTTTAATTCTTTTTTCTTTTTTCTTCTCTGCTTCATTTTTTTCCACCATTCTATCTTCCACCTCACTTACCTTCTCTCTCCCTAGTTATTCTACTGTTGGTTCCCTCCAGAGTCCTTTTGATCTCAGTTACTGCATTATTCATTATTGATTGACTCGTTTTTATTTGTTCTAGGTCCTTATTAAACATTTCTTGCATCTTCTCAATCCTTCTCTCTAGTCTATTTATCTGTAATTCAATTCTGTTTTCAAGATTTGGGATCATCTTTACTATCATTATTCTGAATTCTTTTTCATGTAGACTCCCTATCTCCTCTTTTGTTTGTTTTTGTGGGCATTTATCATGTTCCATTACCTGCTGAATATTTCTCTGCCTTTTCATTTTGTTTAGATTGCTGTGTTTGGGGTGGCTTTTCTGTATGCTAGAAGTTTGTGGTTCCTCTTTATTGTGGAGGTTGCTCCCTGTGGGTGGGGTTGAACGAATGGCTTGTCAAGGTTTCCTGGTTAGGGGAGCTTGTGTCTGTGTTCTGGTGGTTGGAGCTGGATCTCTTCTCCTCTGGAGTGCAGTGAAGTATCCAGTATTAAGTTTTGGGGTGTCTATGAGTTTGGCTGTCTTTGGGCAGCCTGTACTTTAATGCTCAGGGCTGTATTCCTTTGTTGCTGGAGAATTAGCCTGGTATGTCTTGCTGTGGAACTTGTTGGCTCTTGGGTGTAGCTTGGATTCAGGGTAGGTGTGGAGGCTTTTGGATGAGCTCTTGTCTCTTAATTTTCCCTGGAATCAGGAGTTCTCTGGTGTTCTCGAGTTTGGATTTTAGCTTCCTGCCTCTTGCTTTCAGTCTTACTCTTACAGTAGCCTCAGGACTTCTCCATCCATACAGTACAAATGATAAAACATCTAGGTTAAT